TGCTTACCAAACAAGTAAAAGACCTATATAACAAGAACTTTGTGACTCTAAAGAAAGAAATTAAAGAAGATACCAGAAAATGGAAAGATCTCCCATGCTCTTGGATAGGTAGGATAAACATAGTAAAAATGGCAATCTAGCCAAAAGCAATCTACAGATTCAATGCAATCCCCATTAAAATCCCACCACAATTCTTCACTGACCTTGAAAGGATAATAATCAACTTTATATGGAAAAACAAAAGACCCAGGATAGCCAAAACAACCCTATACAATAAAAGAACTTCGGGAGGCATCACCATTCCTGACTTTAAGCTCTACTACAGAGCTATAGTTCTGAAAACAGCCTGGTATTGGCGTAAAAATGGACAGGTAGACCAATGGAATCGAATTGAAAATCCTGATATTAACCCACACACCTATGAACACCTGATTTTCGACAAAACAGCTAAAATTATACAATGGGGTGAAGACAGCATCTTCAACAAATGGTGCTGGCACATTTGGATGAGGGTGTGTATAAGACTGCAGATAGACCCATGTCTTTCGCCATGCACAAAACTCAAATCCAAATGGATCAATCCAGCCACATTGAACCTCTTAGAAGAGAAAGTAGGAGGTACCCTTGAACAAACTGGTATAGGAGACCGCTTCCTGAACATAACTCCAGGGGCACAGACACTGAGAGAAACAATTAATAAATGGGACCTCTTCAAACTTAGAAGCTTCTGTAAGGCAAAGGACACAGTGGACAAGACCAAACAGCAGCCCACAGACTGGGAAAAGATTTTCAACAATCCTATATCCGACAAAGGGCTGATCTCCAAAATATACAAAGAACTCAAGAAACTAGTCAACAAAACACCAAATAACCCTATTAAAAAATGGGGTACAGAACTGAAGAAAGAATTCTCAACAGAGGAAATCAAAAAGGCTGAAAGACACTTAAGAAAATATTCCACATTCTTATCTATCAGGGAAATGCAAATCAAAACAACTTTGAGATACCATCTTACCCCTGCCAGAATGGCTAAAATTAGAAACACCAATGATGATGACTCATGTTGGAGAGGATGTGGAGAAATGGGAACACTCCTCCACTGCTGGTGGGAGTGCAAACTTGTACAGCCATTTTGTAGATCAGTATGGCAGTTCCTCAGGAAAATGGGAATTAGTTTACCACAGGACCCGGCAATCCCCCTCTTAGGCATATACCCAAAGGATTCACATCCATGCAACAAAGACATCTGTTCAACTATGTTCATAGCAGCACTATTTGTAATAGCAAGAACCTGGAAGCAACCTAGATGTCCCTCAATTAAAGAATGGTTAATGAAGATGTGGCACATCTACACAATGAAATACTACTCTGCAGAAAAAAATAATGGAATCTTGAAATTCGCAGGCAAATGGATGGCACTTGAAGAAACCATCCTGAATGAGGTAACCAAGTCACAAAAAGAGGAACATGATATGTACTCGCTCATTTATGGATTTTAGACCTAGAGCAAAGGATCACCAGCCTATAATTCACACCACCAGAGGAACTAGGATACAAGGTGTATTCTAAGAGATTCATATAAAGTCCCTCACAGAACCTGGAAGGGACAAGTCCCCCAGAGCTCAGGGGAAGTGAGGGGGCAGTGAATGGAGAGAGAAGTAGGAGAAAAAGAGGGGGAGGAAAGGAAAACATGTGCAACCAGGAAGATTGAGCCTGGTTAGGAATAGAAGACAGGAGAGAGAGAGAGAGAGAGAGAGAGAGAGAGAGAGAGAGAGAGAGAGAACATAAAAGAGGGAGCCAATATTGGTTTGAAGATAAAACTGAACACAAAGAAAGGTCTAGAGAACTACAAAACTGCTGCCAACTAACAATTTGATATTCCATGGAAAGGCTACCATAAATAGCCTTCCCGGAGAATGAGATCAACAACTAACTTATCCATGGAGCCCTTAACTAATGCCTGTTGGAAACAGGATCAAATACCAATACATAAACACCGAGTCAAAGTAGAACCCAGATGCAGATGGAGAGAACAAGACCAGGAGGGAGAAACACATAGAGACAGGTTACCTGAACAAGGAGGAGCTAACAGGCCACCAGACTGATAGCTAGGAAGCCAGCATGGGACTGACTCAGGCCCCCCTGAATATGGGTCTCAGCCAGAAGGACTCAGCAGTCTAAGGGACCTCAGACAGTGGAGCCAGGATGTATCCCTGGTGCACAAAAGGACTTTGCAAACACATCCCCCATGGAGGGATAACTGCCTTAATCTAGAGACAGGAGAGAAGCCCTAGTCCCTACTTCACATGACCTGTCAGATCTACATGACCCCAACTGGATGGCATTCCCCTACATATGGAATTGGGGTGGGGGGATGGGAGGGGAGGGTGGTTAAAGTGCATGTGAGAGGGCAGAGAGGGTAAAAGGGAGGGAAGGAGGGAGGGAGGGAAATAGAAAATACATTGCTGAATTAAAATTTAGAGGATTTAAAAAAAAGATACATTCAAGCTATAATGGCTATGAAAAATATATGCCCTGTAATAGCAATATCAAAAACAATATACTTGGAGGTGGGAAGATAGCTTAGCAGTTAAAAGCATGTGTTGCTCTTGCAGAGAACAAGGGTTTGGTTGCGAGTACCCACATCAGGAGCTTACATCCATTTGTAACTCCAGTTCCAGGAGATTCAACACATACTTTTGGTCTCATTGGGCACCTGCATGTATGTTGTGCACATATAGACAAGCAGGCATGCACACAACTATTTTTTTTAATTTAATTACCTAATATTTTGGCAATGAAGATTTCAGTTTGAGTTCAGAATTTCACAGAAAAACATCATATTGTGGACAAGGCCATCAAGACAAAGAAGAAACGAAAAGAACTGGGGGGGGGTGGTACAAAGGGGACTTGAAACCATTACATAAATACAAAAGAATGACATATAAATATGTATACATTAATTCAAATATAATAATGACACTTTGGGTAATTTATTTATGCTAGTTATGAGTCATCTGGAGCCTGAGTAACTGTTAGTAAATTCTGAAACAATACCTCAACACAAATTCTTGATAGTCCCAGGCATCTCTTTTACTTAGGACTGCCATAGGACATTGGTGACTTAGAAATGGCCAAATGATACAATATAGACTAATAAGCAAAGAGGGTAATCATCAGTCTTCATTTTAACAAACACATTGAAAATACCTAAATGTTTTAATATAGTTTTGCATAATGGCTTATTTGGGATGTATCTATAGCACTACTTTCAAACATACAATTGATAATATTTTACATGTACAGTAATTAAATTGGTGAAAGTATAGCCTGGACTTGGGATTTTTCAAAGATGTCCAGTTGATACTAAAATACGTACAAGTTTTGTGGTAGTTCATACTTGTAATCCCAACATCCAAGAAGCCAATAAAGGAGAATTACCATAACTAAGAATTCCATGCTAGCCTTGTCTTACAAAATGGTATAAAAACAAAGCCAATAGGAAGAGATAATCTTAAACACAAGGCATTCTATTATTTTTGTTGTCAAAGAGCCATACCAAGGGAACTAAACAGATAATAATAAAGTTTATTAAAACTTCCTTATGGCTGGTCTGTGGTGATACATACCTTTAATCTCAGCTCTCAGAAGGCACAGGCAGGTGTATCTCCAAATTTGATGTCAGTCTGGTCTACAGAATGCGTTCTAGGACAACCAACCCTGTTGCCCTGTCTCAAAGAAAAAGACGGACAAAAAGACTTCCTTTTGATGCCAAGGAAGAAATGTTCCCTCTGAACCCCGATAGGATCATATTCCATTAAAAGATCTCAATTTCTCAAAGCTTCAGATGGCTTCAGTTCTTCCAAATAAGTTAAAAGAACCCAAGATCATTTACAACAGGAGCTGGTGCTGCCTACCACCAACAGTAATGCAATTCTGGTGCAGAGAAAGAAACTATCCCATATTCAGTTAATGCAAAATACATGCATTAGCAAGAGTAGTGTCCCTTCAACTTCAGTAGGTATCAGAATCACCTAGAGGACTTATTGAAGTGCAAAATGCTGGGTTCTATCATGAAACCTAGGGAAAGACCAGAGGATTGTGGTTTCTACTTAAGGTGCCAGAAACTGCCAATGTTGCTCATCTTAGAATGATCTGTGCTAAAGGACATGGTCAGGCCTGGAGAGATGGCTCAACCATTGAGAGCTCACTGCTCTTGCTGAGAATTCAGGTTCAGTTCTCAGCACCCATGCTGGCACACAACCATCTGCAATTCCACTTCCAGATACCAGATGCCTCTCCTGACCCTCATGGACTCCTTCATGCATACAGTGCACATACATGCATTCAAGCACACACGCATACATACAGAAGAAATGATTTTTTAAAAAGCATACTATTATAATCTCAAAAACTAAAAAAAAAAATTTAAAAATAAAAAGAACATAACCTCTTCAGTTTAGTAACTTGTGGGGGCAGGGCAGAAAGACAAAAAGGCTGGTATGACAGAGGTGGTGCCTGTGTGACTGATTGTGTTTTCCTCCCAGAATTCAGCATGTATATCATCTGGACAGCTTCAAAAATTCCCAATGGTTTGCTATTTCTATCTTGACTTGGAGATTTATGCTATGTTTTCAGAATAATCCGTCAAAAAGAATTTAATTTTAATCTTTAAATTTCATGTAAATGAAAACAAACATCAAAAAAAACTGTGGCATTACCATTAGCAGTTGTATTACAGACCTGTAATCCTAGTATCAAAAAGACTGAAGCACAAAGATTAAAAGTTTGAGGCCATCCTGGACCATATAGTGACTTCCCAAGCCAACCTACACAATATAGCAAACCCTACGACATGTTTTCCTCATCTAGATTTAAATTTGTACATGTGTGTTCAGGTAGAAACTGAAAGGTGGACCATTGTTGCATATAAAATGTAAAACTCCAGAGACAGATATATTGGGGTTCAAGCTTCAAGCTGAGGATTAGAAAAGCAAAGCATGGCCTTTGATCATTATGTTGCTATCTGCAAACCCCTGCACTATACCACGGTTCTGACCAAGCCTCTCATCATTAAGATTGGCCTAGTTGCTGTGACTAGGGCTGTGACACTAATGACTCCGCTTCCCTTTCTACTCAGATGCTTCCACTACTGTCGAGGTGTGATGATTGCTCACTGCTACTGTGAACACATGGCTGTGGTGAGGCTGGCATGTGGAGACACACGATTCAACAACATCTATGGCATTGCTGTGGCCCACTATAAGGCTTTTGGGACATGTGTGTCTCATATAGGTGCTATTCTATCCACTTACACACCTGTAGTCATCTCCTCAGTCATGCATCGTGTAGCTCATCAGGCTGCTCCTCATGTCCACATACTTCTTGCGATTTTCTATCTTCTTTTTCTACCTATAATTAATCCCATCATCTATGGTGTCAAGACCAGGCAGATTCGTGATCATGTGCTCAGCCTATTCCGTAGAAAGGATGTGTAGATGGATAGTTCTTTTCTAAGTCCAATAATAAATGGATGGTGTGCTGGATAGAAAGAAAAACCCATAGGACAACTGCAGGATCCCACTTGGCAATTCAGCAGTCTAAGAACTTGACAACCAGTTATTTACTGATCTTTAAATCAGATTAGATGAGGTGTGCACTTATAGCAGGAGATGGAGCAGCCCATTTCCATAGGGGCTTTACATGATTAAGGAAGACAGTAAAACTTTCACAGTGGCTATTGTTATCTACGTGAAAGATAGAAAGATATACCAGCTAAGCTTGACTCATACATATGCAATTTTATTGATTATTTCACCTAGAGTATTAATGAGTGCAGGAATATGGTCCAAGAATGGAGTCATCTGAGAATTCTGAGTGCTTGTGAGAAAACTCAAAGAAACCTTTCTTTCTTCACAAACACAGAATTGTTCTTGGATTATGCTTTCATACACCTCCCAGTATAGCAGATAAGAGTGAGTTTACTTCAGATTATTCATTGCAATTGGCCGTTGTTTGTTTATATGCCTCTATGGAAAAGTGTGTTTTTGCCATGTGCTGCTTGTCCTCCAGGTAATTCTTGCCTGCCATATATGACTTGCCCTTGTGATTGGACAACTTTATTCATGTATGTCTTCTTAACTCTTAAAATGTCTAATGTTTAGAATAAAGTTGGCTATTGCATGAAAATTTTGTCTGCCTCCTTTATAAATTTCACTTTTCCAGGTCCCACTGCCTCAAGAACAGTGAAAAATTAACTAAATTGCTAATTTGGCAACTCGTAGACCAACACCATCCATCACTGAGATTACTTGTTTAATGCTTTAAAATGGCCAGCAGCACTGCTGACTCCATGATGGAGAAAGAACATCTGGATAAGACAGGCAAAGAAACTGATCTCTTGGTTTCTGAGCCAAAAAATAGCAAGCATTTTGTGCAATGTTGTAGAAGAAAGGACCAGATCTATGGTTACCAACATAGCCAGAAAGATGTACATGGGCTCATGGAGGGCTGAGTCTGCCTGGATAATGAAGAGAAGGGTACAGTTGCCCAATAAGGCCAAGGTATAGGCAAAGAAGAAAGGAATGGAGATCCGGATGTGTAGGTGCTCCAAACCAGGTATTCCTACCAACAAAAAGGCCACTGGATGGGTTTCAGTTGCATTGATGGCTGACATGACTCCTGGAAACTCTTCTTGTTGGTTTTCAAATGGTACCTCACCTTCTGTATCTATTTTCTATGAAATACATGATAATAGAATTCTGCTACCCCAGCTAATTGGATTAAGTCTCATTTCCATTGTTAGACATTAAACAAAGTAAGTTGATAGCTCTCATAGATATAGAAATACAGCCCATGTTTCATGTCTTAAGGAATTTTAACTCTGAACAAAATAATATTAAATATCCATAGAAATGATGTCATATGTCCACCTTCATAAAGTGATAGGAGGTGGTAGTGTTTGCTATGTTCTTGATGTCAGAATTACCTTTGAGTGGGGAAATAAAATATGGTAAAATCGGTTTATTTCTTAAAATTCTTTATTTTTAGTTTCATGTACACATGTATGTCTGTGTGAATATATGAGCATGAGTGGCCACTTAAGGCTCATGGGATCTGTATCAAAGTAATCTTTCAGTAAATACATGATGTGTGACTAATTAGGGCACTAGAAATTACAGTTTACTTGTCTTCTTTATTTGTACCTAAGTTGGAGATTTTGGGACAGGAAATTAGCTTTTGCATTTGAGAGCTTATCTTGATAAGAATATGTAGCAATATGTATTACAGAAATGAACCAAGGGATTGGAGAAGTAGCTAGCTATCAGTAACTTTAATCTTTACTGACCATGAAAATTAAAGCTGGGCATGGAGGCACATAACCATACTTTCAGTACTCTGAAAGATGGTAAAGAAAGAATATAAGCTCAAAGCTAAATAAAAAGCATAGAAACATAGACAGACAGACAGACAGACAGAGAGACAGACAGGAAGATATAGAATCCTAAAACAGATAGAGAAAGGAAACCTAGCACGAAGAACACAAGTACTCTGAAGCTACATCCATTATTAGACCTAGTAATTTTAAATGGGGAAATCGTAGTAGGCTTCATTGAAAAAAGATTTTGAACAAAGAGTCAAAACCTTCCATGCAGGTGGTTTAAATTAACAACTGAACAAGAATGAAATGAAAAAGTAAAATAGGGGGAATTAATGCAGAGATGCATTCCCAAACTGGAGAATACAGTCATAACTGTATCATATACTATCTGAAGAACCATGAAGGAGTAACCTCAGGATTGGTCCTTATAGACTTAAAAGAGGGAATGTTGCTTTTAGAAACATCCTGCAACATTGCCTTTTCTAGATAGTCTACTGATTTACCTCGGATTTTCATACCACATTCATTGGCTTCCACTTACTGTCCCAACAAATAGTCAGGGATTTATCCAAAGAGCATTGACTTCCTCAGTCTTCTAGGTTCACAAGGCCATCAGAAGAGCTGAGCATTATTTCTCAGTGCAAGTTGAGTAAAGCTGTGGCCTTTTTGATTATTCCATAGCAATGGCTAAAATAGAAAAGGACACATGAGAGGGTGTAAGACGAGCATGAGTGATGCAGGATAGATAGAATCCTCCCTGATAGTAAATCCTAAAAGATGGCCAGAGAAAATTCCTTTATGTTTATATATGACTAATGATCAAATATTGGCTAGGTAGCCAATGTAGCCAAGAAGGGGTGAGGGAGAACTGTTGAGGGCAGAAGAGTGTTGAAAAGCATACACAGCTTTATAGCTGTGTAGAGAACTTTGGAGAAAAAAAAAATGATGTTCTCAGACTTTGATTTAAACAGATAAGAGACATATTTAAATTCTTTATACCATTTTTGTCTGTGTTTATGTCTGTGTGAAGGTGTCAAATCTTCTGGAAATGGAGTTATAAACAGTTGTGAGCTGCCATGTTGGTGCTGGGATTTGAACCTAGAACCCATATCCCAGTGAAGAGCAGACAGTGTTCTTAACCACTGAGCTATCTGCCAAGCCCCAACATATTTGAATACTTAAAACTTCTTCAGAGTTTGCTCTGATACCTATATGATTACAAATGTTTTAAAAACTAGCAGAAACTTCCAAAGGTGACAGCATGGAGACACTCACTAAGGCTACTTAAGCAGTCTGAAGAAGGGAAAAATTTGTATCAGAATCAAGATGGTAGTGAGTACAGTGATAAGTAATTGTATTTGGAGCTTATTTTTTTAAGTGCAATGTAGGTGTTTCACTGGGTTAAATATAGCCCTTGTCAGAAACTTAAGTCTAACATGTCAAGACTTTTGGCATAAGCAACCAGAAGGAAGACATTACTCGGTTAAAATGAGGAATGTTTTGGAGGAACAGATCAAGACTTCAACTTTCAAAGTGGAGGGTTTGAAATGTCTTGTCAGAAGTCTAAGTAACAGATGACCTGTTTGAATTTGAAGGGGAAATTTTGGTTGTTGATAGAAATTTAGGATCATTTGGAAACGGAGAGTTCCTGAAGGCATGGAAGCAGTTCACCTCAAAGATGTACCCTATTTTCATAGAAGGAAGAAAAACTCAGTTATGAATCTCATGATTTAGTACTGAGATGTAGGTCAGCCAAGAAGACTGGGTGGCTATTAAGACAAAAGTGCCCTATAATCCGTGCTGCCTTGGTAGCCTATTCAACATCATATATTAAGGGTGAGGAGTTATCACTATGTAGTAACATTATTAATGAAGAAAATCATCTGAAACCCACATTGCTCTTGTACTTTCAGATTCAGGGTACTGGACAACTGAAGAAAGCAATACTGGTGAATTAGCACCATGTGGAGTCTGAATTAAATGAGTCTGAGGAAAGGAGTATTTGAAGTCTAATGAAGGTCTCCTTATATAAAGAACTTGCAATAGAAGCCAACAGTGAATGGAGCACCAGATTCAGTGAGGAGTAAGGTCAAGTATTTGTGTTCGTTTTCTTCTAAAGAGAAATTCTGAGGTGGAAGGAGAAGTTGTCTTATTGTTTCATAACTTCATTGCAGGATCAGAGTCTCTGCCTTTGTCTACAAAGCAACACAGGACTGACACCTGACTATCATAATGACTGGCCAGATTTCATCAGGTGTGTCTGTGTGCGCTGCCTGTTTAAATGGGGAGGGACTCTTTGGGTGGGTGCAGGGCCTAGGACAGGGATGAAAAGGAGAGCTTGGGTTTTAAAATGAAAAAAAAGAAGTCAACACACATCCCTTCTTCCCAAAGAAGGTGAGCAGTTTTGGGTCCACTGTAAAGTGCATCAATAAAGCTCTTGGCTTATTATGGCTTATTAGTATAGTCCAAAACTAAACACAAAACAAGGAAAAGAGAAATGAGGGGGTTGGTGAGATGGGTTAGCAGATGAATGTGTTTGCCACCAAGCCTGAGCTCAGCCCTTGGAACACATGTGATGGAAGGCAAGAATGAAAAGAGAAGGAAAGGAAGGATGGAAAGAAGAAACTCAAAGAAAAGGAAGGAGGAAAGGAAGGAATATAGATGTAAAAAATTTACAAATTGGACCTGATGGTTGCACACATTTGTAATGCAAATACTCCAGAGGCTATAGAAATACAAGTTTGGGGCCAGCCTGGATGACATAGTGAGACTGTCTGGAAGAAAATGGTGGATATTTTACAACACATTTTAAATACAGAAGGAATTGAGAAAATAAAGGGAATGTTGCTTCGAAAGCACCCTGGAGTCTTGCCCTCCTTTAGGGTTTTCTACTTCTTTACCAGGGGTCTCAGCACCATATCCTAAAACCTCAAATACTAATATACATGTCTCATTTTTCCCTTCATGGAAATGTCAATGCAGAAATCTTGACTTCTTCTAAGTGGCTCTGAAATACAAAAGCTTGATCCAGTATGGCCAGTTGTTCCTCCTAGAATAAATTCATCTGTGTTTCCCTTTCTTCCCTACACTATAGTTCATCAGCAAGTACCATCAAAG